TGCAGCTTGTGTTGCTGTGCGCTTGGATCATTTGTATGGTGTTTGGCAGATCAACGAAGGAATTGAACCTCGTCTGATGCAGGTGATTGACACCCAAGACGTTGCTACCTGCGTCAGTGTCAGGTGAGTGAAGCTGAAGAAGTGTTCCATTCCAACTCCAGGTGCTAAAAATGACAATTTTGTGTGTTTGTGGTCAGTCCTCATGTTTTAGGTGAAGTTCTGGTGGCCAGTGAGAGTGGATGTGTTAATCTGTGGACCGTTGGCAGAGGGTAACCAAAGATTTGAAGATGTCACCATACAGTTCTGTTTGACAGGAACTTGTTTTCTGACTGATGTTTTGTTTTGTTGCAGCATTCAGAAGGTCCATGGAGAAGAAGCCAACATTCACTTTAACGCTAATTCCTTGTGGAGATGGTGTGACTTCTCGGCTCATCCCAGGGTGATGCTGTACGCTGACAGGACAGGGGTGGAGTTAAGTGACATCAGGGTGAGGAGGTGACGGGGGAGTGTAGACAAGGATCCTGGTAGTGGTCTCTGTTTGTTTATAAAACTGCTTTTTAACTTCTCTCTCTCTAGACGAGTACAGTCTCTAACAGTACTCTGTTCAGCATCAGCAAAATATCAGAGTGTCGCAGAGGAGAGCGCCTCCTGCTGACTCGATACCTGAGAGATGCTCACACCTTTCACCATCTGATCCTCACACAGGTATGTCAGTGTGACATTCTTTTAGTTTTTTAGTGTGGCTGAGATATTATGTTAACAATGTTGTTTTCATGATAAAGTAATTACACTGATAAGTATTTTATTGAAGTACAATTGTTAAGAATATTTATGTACTTTGTCTTTTTTAGAGGAGGAGATGTTAGTTTCAGTATATGACACAATAACCAGTCCTTCCAGCTGAAACAGCATGACAGAGGAACAGAGTTTAAACCTAAATGGATAATGGTGAAAAGCAGATTTTTTTTTTAATTTGTTAAACAATTTATCTGTCTTAAATTTTTTTTGACTTTTTGACTTCCCAAAAGTGGGAATATGCCAATTCCAGATAAAAGCAGGATTTTTTGTGAAAAATTCCAAATCACATTCCTGGTTTCATTTTTGAAGTTCCTAGTACTGTTTGTAGTTCTCAGTTTTCATTCCTGTCTCTTTTCCCTCTCAGTTTTCTGCATACATCATGGATGAGCGATTACCTTCTGTTCCCATGCTGAAGTGGGATCACATGATGGAGTCCCCACCGCTGTTCTGTCACATCCTTCCTAACTCCAACTCCTCAGGTTTGACAGCTGGAGTGGCTCCAACCACTAAAATCGTGTTGGGCTCAAGCACTTCTCAGGAAATCTGCTTGCTGCAGTACTCAGGTCAGTCAACAGGTGTGGTGTGAGGCCATTAGGACGGTGTTTACAGTAGTGTTCTGACTTGTTCTGTGATCAGGAGGCAGAACTGAAGCCTGTGTCAGTCGTGGTCCTACTCAGGCTCTGCTCAGACCCAAAGACAGTCTGAAGCTGCTTCCTGTTCAGATTCCACACCGTTTGGACATCGCCACCAACAGGCTGTCTTCACCTGCTGCAGGTTAGACTCACTGGTAATACAACATGGTTTCCCACACAACACTGGTCACAGTGAGAATAATTGCCGAACTATTAACAACATAGAGATTCTCACCAAAGTCCATGAAGAAAATCAGTAATTTCAGCTCAGACCAATGTCTATGAAACCTGTTATGGCTTTCCAATATAAAATCTGATCTCATGACTTTGTTTTTAGGTCTGACTTGTGTCCAGAAGAGAGCAGGAGAAGAGGATGGTGCAGATGAGTGTATCTGTGTTTTACAGCTGACAGAGGCTGGAGATGTTTTCTACCAAATCCTAGAGCCACAGGGACCAAACACTCAGTCACAGCCTCCAGCAGCAGAGTTGGAACCACTGCCTCGACCTACAGAACCAGCACCAACTGTTCTCAATTCTGAGACTCTTATAGGAAACACGTCCAGTGAGGAGGACGTGATTGGACCCACACAGGATTTCACTGGGCCAGGGTTTGTGGATGAAAGTCCAGAGAGGTTCTCTGATTCTGAAGACTCAGAAAACGGACGTAAAACTCGGAAGCTGAAGCTGCTGAAACTGCAGGTCCTTGTCAATGAGGATCCAGAGTCGGACAGAGAGAGTGAATCTGATGTTGGAGAGAAAAAGAAGGTTCCTCAGGAACGCAGCACGATGGAGAAAATGTTCTGCAATCCCAGTCCCTCAATCAGTCCCTGGGAGAAGAAGACTCCAGTAAAACTCAGTGAGAACGCCCGAATCACATGGAAACATTGGCACCAAAAACTGATGCGAAAGACCCGTGGAAAGAAACCTCGTCAACGAAATTCAAACTTTGCCACTGTTGACATCAAAGAGCTCCTGCAGCTGCCCAATCATGATGAAGCAAGACCTTTGACAGAAGAGGAGGAGCAGGTCCAACGTCTGAGGAGAGATATGAGAACGTGCATGTCCCAACGCTCACTCTTGCTTCAAAGCACTGCATCTTCCTTAATCCCAGAGCCAGAGATTGTACCTGTTCCCGGAGCAGTGAACACAGACGAGTGGCAGGACCCACTCAGTCAGCGTCTCACTGCCTCGTGGCAGGGTGGGGAAGAAGCATGGAAGGCATGGTGGGACAATTATCTGGGTGTTAACAGGGAGGAGAAGATAAAGGCTCTGAAGAGGAAGAGGAAGAAGGAGAAAGAGGCCAGGAGAGTGGCCGATGGAGGCCTGTGTCTGTCCAGCAGCTTCACCTCCTCCGTGACCTACCAGTCAGATCTGGATGACTTCTCTGATGGAACATGGTGGTCTGGTGCCAGCCAGGGGGCGTGGTCTGATAGTGAGGGTGTGGCCTCGTCATCTGTGGCAGACTGTAGTTTGTCTGAGAGGACAACTGGAGCACCCACAGTCACAAGTGACTCCCCGTGTCCTTCATCATCTATAATGCCTGCTAATAGGAAGCACAGTAACCAGCAAAGGACGCCAGTGAAGGATGCCACCCTGCCCAAGAATAATAGCAGGATACCTACAGCAGAGGGCGATCTTGGTGCTGCAAACACAACACAGGTGGGTCGAGATCTCTACAGTATTTAAAAAAGAATCTTTTTGATTCTGTAGCATTGTAGTTATTAAGGTTGAACCTTCAAACTATACATACTTGTATACTAAATTTATAATGTGGATTAACATTAAATGCTAGGTTTTACATATGTACTACATTCACAGAATATTACAAACTTACAGTTCAGTTACAGAAGTTTGCCTTTGAGGTGAAAACTAAAAATATTTAAACAACCAATTTGGCCATGAACCAGCCAATCGCTGTCTTCTCTTTTTCCAACATTTTTCCATCATTCAAGTGTTTAATACTGCACTAAACCCAACAACAACACTGACTGAAATTTTCTGTTTCAGCACAAACTTTCACACTTCAACATCCTGGAAGATCAAGAATACGTTACACCAACACCACCTTCTGTTCCTCTGAGGAACATGCCAATGGATCTGTCGGACTGGTCAGGATCCCGCTCACAGTCTCAGTCTCTTTCCCAGAATCCACTTGATCCACCAGAGCTTTTGTCATCACAATCTTTGTTCCAGTCCCAAGATTCACTGGAAGGACTTGGGTTGACTCAATCGTCGCAGTTTTTGTTTCCCTGCCTGAGCTCACAGGGTTCAATCCAGTTGTCACAATCTTTGTCCCAATCCCAGAGTTCTCAGGGTCGACCTGGGTTGTCTCAGTCATCACAGGCCAAGAAGAAAAAATTTCGAATGGGATTTTGACTGAAACTGGGAAAGACAACATTTTGGAATTTTCTCTCAGGAATGTTTTTTTGTGCTTTCACTTTTTGGACTGACACTGATTTGAATCATGTGGATTGCACCAAAGACAAGTCATCGTCGACATGGAGGAAGAGCCTGAGGACGTCCTATGAAGACTTGGTGTGGTAGGACTGAGAAGCATTTCTTACCTTGTGTGTGTGCGTGTGTGTGTGTGTTAGAGAGGTGTATGACATCATCACATTTTCCCCCAGACTGATTCACTGTGTACAAGAAATCATAAACGTCCAAAATGATTTCATTATCAGCGTCTTAGAAATGCATATATTTATATATACATTTTTTTAAATGTATAATGTGATCTTAAAATAACCAGTTTACGTTAACCTGAGGATCAGAAATACTGAGCTGTAGGTATCTGACTAAAAACTAGTTCTGGTTCTGTTCAAAAGTCTGTTTCTGTTATAAATTCTTGGAAGTTTCGTAAAAACATGAAGAGATAAGTGAGATAACATGTTAAATAAGACGTAAAGCCCAATCCTGTTTACTAACAAAGAAAAATTCAACAGCTGCATAGAAACTAGAGCTGGTTGTTGTTGAGTTCTTTGGTTCTGATCCACAGAAAAGTCTAGATGACCTTTAATTGTCTCTGCTGAACACTTTTGAACAGAAACATCTGCTCTTTCTTTCTTGTTTTTGGCCCCAGTGCTAACCAGTTTACCTTCTCTGTTTTTTTTCTCTGCTACTACATTCATTGTACTCCTCCTCCGACCAGGAAGGATGTGTGGTGTTAGCTGTACTTAGCCCATATGCTAACGTTTCTGGAGTATGGTCCGTTCATGGGTGTCTAGAGGTACAAACCTTGCTGTATTTAATCCTCAGTTTTCAATCAGGTGATTTGAATAATAAAAAGGACCAATCTTTGGTGATTGCACGCAGGATGATAAACCTTTGACTTGACAGAATGCAGGGCCAGATGTCCTGACAGTTTGTGCTGGAAAATATGAATCAGGTCTTTGTTTCTTTGACTTTGTCAAGAGACTTGTTCAAGTGATTTATTGTGAAGGTGTAATGTTTTTTAGTCAAATAAAGAAAAGTTAAACACAACAACCTAAAAATAACATTTTTATTTAGATTTTCTTATTTTCAGTACTGGTGACAAAAAAGAATAAATAACTTATATCTACACAGAACTCTGAATGGTTTTTTTTTTACACCATTTACAGTTTTTACAAGTTTTTCTATTAACATTTTCTTACATTTTTAATTTTTTTTTTGACGCTTGGTCAGTAACTCAGTATTTCATTCATCCTTCTCTCTGAACAGTTCCACTACACCAAACACCTTTTCAGTTACATCCTAAAGTTGGCAACATAAAATCAAATCAGACACATCAAAACGCACACACACACACACTTAATAAAAGGTTTTAAACCAAACACCCTGCAGAGATTTTGAGTTAAAAGTTCCAAAAAATGTTACAGGTGTTTCTCTCAGACTCAAACTCCAGTTTTCTACCTTTCAACACTTGAAATGAGAACAAAATTTAAAATGTGCAAATTAATTCTAACAGAGAAACAGAGCGGCTCCACTTAATCCTCCACAAGTATGGCGTAACAGTCAAGGTCCAGCTGCTATGTTGTTAAAACACCCAGACAGTCTTTTTAGTTCAGCTGATTGGACCAAAAAGGCCGTACAGGAACAGCTTTAAAAACATCGGACCTGCTGATAAAGCTGTCTTTCACTGTCACATTCGCTTCTGCTCAGATACCGTGACCTTGAGCGACCTTTGTCCTCCATTCAAAACTAAAACTTCGTTTAACCTTTACATAAAACAGTCATTGATTAATAACAGTCACAAAATGTTCTGTGAAAAACTAACAATACAAAATTTGGCAATACTGTTCACTGATGGTGAAGGTTGTGTCTCTGGTCAGAATCAGCACCTTTAACCTTTGACCCAGATGACCAGTTTCCATCACTGTCACATTACTCCCACTTCATTGAAAAGCTTAAGTTCTGTTTTTTCAATGAACAGGCAGCAGTGTGGACGTGGACCCAGATTTGCCAAACTCTCACACACTGGAATGTGAATATTTTCCAGCAAACATCCAAAAAAAATTAAATCTAGAAAAGTCTTATTGAAAACTCCAGACAGGGCTCAGCTGCCATGTTTACCAGTTTCTTCACTAGCACCAGGTATTAGAGGACAATAAGTTATTACAATAAAAATGATAAAGAGCGGTGCGTTGAAGGAATGGAAGGCCCGGGGTCAGGGTTTCAGGCGCAGAGGTCTTTGCGTTGTTTTTGGCGACGGTAGTGCAGAGGAAAAAACTGTCCTTCAGCGTCACTGCCCAGAGAACTGCTGAGAGACTCTTCACCCGAACTTGACATGTCCTCGCACGAGTCCTCACTGTGGAGACACACAAGTAGAGAAGTGTCAGGACAATGTTCTGAAACATTCGGTTTCAATAAAAATAATTTCTTAACTCATGAATTTTTAATTCAAATCAGTTCAGACAGTGCACTAGAGGTCAGAGGTCTGAGAAAACACTCACTAAATGTGAAATAATGCTGACTTGTACGTCATCAGGCCATAGACATAATGAAGGAGTAGGGGAGGGGAGGCAGTTGGTATTTACCCAACCCAAATTTCCTCTTACTAAGGCAATGATCAGCTGATGTCACTGTAACTCAGTCGGTGTCTTTGTAAACAGCTGTTTAAGGCATATACCCTGAAGGATGAATGAATACAATGATTGATGGTTTTATGATACAAAAAATAAGAATAAAATGTTTACCTACAGTAAGGTTGTTTGGTTAACATCAGGTTAACCAAAAGCTTTTGTTTTGAACCAAAGCAGGAAAAAAGTTTCCAGAAGTAAAATGTTACATAACATCTACGTCATGGAAACGGGGTGAGACGCACACACACACACACACACACTGCTGAAAAGATAGGAGCGCACCCAGTGAACTCTGTGTGTGTGTGTGTGTGTCATGTTACGACATGTCTCCTCTCCTCAGATGACATCGTCCTTTAATATGTACCTTTCTGACAAATAATGTGTAATGTTTCATAGAGCCAGAAGGGTGTGTGTGTGATGTGTAAGTTCCAGTTTCTTTTTGAATCTCCACTTCCTCTAAGGAGTGTTTGGTATTTTCCCTGCAATTGTTTTTACATCATGCCCTGCTCTGACGTCAGGAGTGTGAAATAGAGCATAGACTCTTTCTTTTAGCTCCCTGTTTCTCCAGTGTTGCCAAAGTCTGGTCAAATACTGGACTTTTTGTTTCAGAGAGATTTCCTTTTTGCCTGAAAAGACTTAAAATTATGGCCAGTTTTCTGTGGTGTGTGTTGTTGGCTCTCACCTCTCGCTCTCGTCCCAGCCTCCCTCAGGAATGGTGGGCAGCTCAGGGACACTGCGGTAGCTGTGCAGGTTCTGGGCTGTGCGCCGGGACACAATCCACAGCAGCTTCCTGTGGTTGGGTTTGCTGCACTCGGGGGAAGCGTAGTCAGACAAACACTGGGCCACACGCTCGCTCCACAGTAACAGTTCACTGTCTGCTATCTGACAACACAAAGAAAACAAAAATACAACACGGTTCATTCTTAGTCCCTTGACCTGACGTGTCACCAGGACATTTCAACAGTCGGAGGACTAGCCAACAAAATATTGGGTTCAAACAGTTTGAAGGTTTCAGTTCTGTTTTCACAGCAGAACATTCACTTTCAACACCCTTAAATGTACTGACGTTAATTTGATACAGAAAACAAAATCAGCTGAACCACAGGAATTCAGATAATTTATGCCACACCAAAACTTACACACACACTTCTCTAGGAACTGTTTGTCACAAACCGATTAGACATTAAATATTACCAATCTGACAAATGACTTGTCATTTTATTGAAGTTGTCAAATGCAAACAGTTTAAGAATTTGTCTAGTCATGTGATTGGTTGTTCATACAGTTTAATACGTGATGACTTTGTAAACAGATACTACAGCAAATTAGCAAAAATGACATGAACTGTTGTGTGTACAGGAGCTTTTATCTGTTATTTTTAAGGCCACAGTCAGTTATTTACCTTCAGATGTCTTTGAATGTTAAAGACTATTTCCAACATGTCCTCTGATTGGGCGGCTTCGATCTCCTGCCTTAAGAGAGCCAAGGCCAGAACGGACGGCTGCATGGGAAAAACAGACGGAAACAAAAACACATGACAATCCTGCAGTGGTGTAAAAACATGTTCAGTCCTAAAACTCTGGATTGACACGATCCAGTCTGAACATAGACCACCTGCAGGAAATCCTTACCTTGGCTTTAGAGAAGGAGATTCTGCACAGACAGGCTTTCAGCTGAGCCTCCAGCTTCTCCAGGTTTAGAACTTGCTTCCTGTTCAAACACACACGTACACACAGTTTTAGTTTTTTCTTCTTCAGACTAGTCCACTTAGAAAAACTACTTCCTGGACTGACTACTAAACCAAACATGAAACAAAAACCAGGGACTGAAGAGATGCAGGTGTAACAACATGACAGTGTTTTGTAACCATGAGATACCAACAGCAGGTGACAACAGATCTAATCAGACTAGACATGTCTCATATTTGACTACTGCCACACATTCAGGTCTGAACTGCTGTGACCCCGTCTGACTCAAATTTTAGATCTGAAGTAAGGGATCAGATGTTTTCAGTCCTCGGTTCTGGTTTGAATCTGAACTGAGGAAAGAGAAACACAATCCAAAGGTTGTTTGAGGATGTGGAATCTGCCCAGAGGGTCTACTGCAGCTTTAGTATGTAGCAGTAGCTGCCCTAGCTGACACAAATCCTCCAGCGACACAGTAGCTTAGGGTGTAAGGAGTTGGACTTCAGAGCTGCAATCCTTTGAATCTACTTCATTAGAAAACCCCACAGGTCCAGTAACATAGTTAATGCTGACAACAATTGTTAAAGCCCCCCACAACTTAATGACCCGGTCTACTCATGCTCCATGGCACACTAGAGTCACATGACTTTTAACATGAACTCTGTTGTCATTAACCAATGTTTGTGTTTAAAACATATTTTAGAAAGTCGAATGATGAATCTAAAGGCTAACAGGTTTTTCTTCTCTTCCTGTGTTGAATGACAAACTCACCCTTCAGTGGAGTGTGAAAGTGCAATCTGGTGGTACAGGTACAGAAAAGTCAAGGCAGTGATGGCTTTGGACTTGAAGTTCAGCTTCTCCGAGACAATCTTCTCCATGCGGCAGAGGTCGGACACAGTGAACCTGCACTGTCCGATGCGGATTAGCTCAACGGTGGGGGTTAAGTTGCATTCCTCCTCCGTCACTTTGGCTGCCATGTGGAGGCAACTGAGGCTGACGCAGGACAGGTGTTTGGGCTGGATCTAAGGAGACAAAGGTTGAGTTTAAGAATGAGTGATGGTTGTTTGATTAGTTAAACTGAAATGGTGTTTGTGTTCCTGTTTTTTAAAGGAAAGCTATTTCTGATCAGAGTGAAACAGACATCTTTTATAGATGCTTTCACAAGTGGGATTATCCTTAATGTTGTTGCCTTTTTGGTTTTCTTTGACACTGGATATTATATACTAAATAGCTCTGTTTTTCTGTTGTTGTGGACAATCAAGTTACCAAATTTAACCCCACCTAACACTGACCTATTTGCCGGGTTACTTTTCCAAAAATACCTGTTCCATTGACACTGAATCCCTGGGCATCTAAACTCCAACCAAAATGTATGTGCTCCCAGCTGTACTACTGTATGTGTTCTCAAGTGTCCAGTGTCTGGTCCTATTAGGTGTTGGGAGTTTCGTACCCTCATCATGGCCAGGAATCTGTCCAGCAGGTTCACAGCCAGGACGAAGGTCTGTGTGCTGTAACCGAAGAAGCTGGTGAGACTCCACAAGTCCTCCACTTTGGCATCTCTGCACTTGGCTGAGATCCGACTGTCATCCTAGAAGAAACAATGACCCTCACCTTATTTACCCTGTTTAGTTGTAGTTACGGGGAGGAGCAGGAATGATTAATGTTTGTTCTCACCTGTGACGTGGACTCAATGAGACTCAGACCTGCCTCTTTGGGGAGATAATGAACCTCCTGCTCATAGTTCACCCGCAGCTCCTTCATCAGCCTCAAGGCGTCCATGTCTCAGCTGGCACTGGAAGAACCTTTACTACAGTATTTATACTGAAAAGAAAAAACAAACACAGAAGCTTAGTTCACAAGTAATGCCTTACAAGCCATTTCTTTGTTGTACCTCAGAAGCTCTAAATATTAAGATTACATTATTGATAAAGACCAAACTGTAGCTTCCAATAGTGATAATAGTTTTAATAGATACCCACGATTAGATCAATCAAATTTCAACATATTCATTTGTGTTAGTTTAGTTGAACATGTTCTGATGTTGTACCTCTATGACGGCGAACTGAATGCCTTGAATGAATTGACACGAACGTGTCAGTAAATGCTGCTACCGAATGTTTCTGAATATACAGTATCTACAGTCTAAAAGCTCTGACTATTGTAGCTAGAGCTACAGGCTCCGCCCTCTTCCGCCTCAGCTGAGCTGCGGTGTCAAATTTCCAGTGGTGAACGCCTTCTCGTCCTCTGACCGAAATACGACAAAAAGGAAAACATCGACACCATAACTATCAATTACATTACACGGTTTTGTCTTTATAAATCACACAAAACACAGTTTTATCACCGCAAATAAGCATTTTCTTATGTTGCTTTTAACCACAGAACCTGACGTTAGCCTGTTTTTTAAATCCTCCTTACTGGAGTGGGGGAGGGGCGGTTGTTTTCTGCATTCATCAACCTAAAATGTTTGTTTTTTTCATACTTATAACGCGATTATTACTGAGAGATCTTTATCACGCGATTTGCTTAAGTATTTATGCTTTATATCAAAACAAATAAGTCGGTTGTTTGCTCGTATTATCGAGATATAGTTTAATTTTAGTAGGACAAAAAGGTGAAATAAAAGATGATCCAAACCAATATTTTAGGGGTTATTTGTTATTATATGTACATCAAATGAACCGCGTTATTATGTTGCATTTGTTGACTTTTTATCTGCCTGCCTGTTATATTAAAATTAAAACAAAAATATGATGTAAGAATAGGAACATAGAATGCATTTTGAAAGTTACTTTCTACATTAACGAATAATTCAAAAATACGCACCAATTTGTACTATTGCTAATGCAAAAAGGAGAAATGGTTTTGTGGTTTATAAAAACGACTTAATTTTCACTAGAAACAATGATTATGTAGACGTTAAGCTAAATAATAAACAAACCTCAACATGCAGAATTTCAAACTCAATTGTTGAATTCATACTTGTAGACATAGTAATAAACAGCAACTATTCATTTTTAACTCGCAGTGGATGGTTTTTTAGGCTTTTAACACAACATTTTATCGACGTTTTAAACATCAGCTGTTTTTTACACGAATTATTGTCTCCAGACTTACTCTATATGGTCATTGTTTTTGTATTGCTGTATTACAAGACATATATCGATTAAAATAAAAGTTAACTGTACCTGTTTGATGGTTTAAATCCACATATCTATCCTTTCCTTCTCTCTATCCTGTTGTCTCTTCTCTCCTCTTCACTGCTTTCGTCTCTTTTGTTGACGTTCTATCGTTCACGCCCACATACGACGTCACGTAGAAACAGCAAATCACTTCGTCGCCTTTCGATGCGTACCCCCTGACCACGACGAGAAAGTATTGAATTAAAGCCCTAGTTTTTTATTAATGTTTATTTCACAAGCGGTTTATAGACGTCTAATGCCAAAATTCGCACGAAGTTCAATACCCGATTGTCAACAATCGGTTTTACCCCAGAACAGAATGAGTAAACCGTATCATCAACGAAAGACGCTTCTCGCTGATTGACGTTCATTTAAGCGTATCAGTGAACTGATTTTTTGTTCGTTCAAATAGTCCGCCCAAATCCGAGCCCTCCGATTGGTCAAAGTTTATGGAGGCCTGGTGAAATTTGAGCATTACGTATTGCTTTTATGGTCTATGGTTAGAGGAAAAAAAAAAAAAGCATACATATATACACACATAGATATGTGTCTATATACACATATGTATATACTGTATATATATACACACATATATACACGTATATACACACGTATATAAATACTTCCTTTAATTTTATTTATGGAATTTCATATGTACATTTGATCATAATACATTTTAAAATAATATTTTTTTCAATTTGAGTGTATAAAGACCATTCTCATTATTTATGCATTATATTTCTGTTCTACCCGGTAAAGAATGTAACGTGAGTCGACATGCTGTCCCCTTTATTCAAATATAATTCTTCTGGAATGATTTACAATTTACAGGGTTTAAACTGTGTACTATGTAGTAAGTGGTTATAATGAAGACCAAGCATATTTGTTTGTTATTCCCACTAAGGATTAGCACGATGCCACATAAGAGGAGCAAATAAGAGGTCATTTAATAAACATTAATTATTTATTTACGTTTAAATATGTACTTTAAAATGTGGAATTATTCATATTGGTTCAAATATTAGACCAAAGTGTCATTTTGGTTGCAGACCAACAAAGGGCCCATTGAATACTGAATCTGTTAAAAACAACCTGAAGATGACTGTAACATCAGGTTTTTTCGGATGAGCTTAAATTACTTTATCACTATTGCCTGTGTTTGGGATAAAAGGCATCGAACATGCGAACACTGTTTCCACAGTGAAAACTATAACTGTAAAGATGTTCCAGTGCATCCAGGACTGTACATTTTATAAGATTAAGAGGAACGATGAATAAGGTAGAACATGCAAAAACAGTTAACATTACAGTCTACACCTGCTTTTTTCAGCAATAGAAAATACAAGTAAACTGGTGCACCGTAACATATTGTAATCTTACAGGGTTAAGATGGTATCTTTTTAAAACTAGGGTCAAAAATAGCTTTTTGTATTATTCCGCACACAGTGCGTTTGTTTTCAGTATAGACTTTGCCTGCAGGTGGGCGGAGCCTCTTCCCTTCACTCTTCCCCCTCCTCGGAAGTAGACGTCGCCGTCTATATTCCGTTATTTTCATTTTTATACATATTTTTACAGATACCGTAGCCACGCCATGGACGCCAGCATGGATGACTGAAGTACAGAGGGGATCCCCGGTTTTACCGCCGTCCATTTGTCCGTGAGTCGAGCGGAGCGGATGAAATCCAACTGTGGCTTTCTCCGCTTCACAGGGGAGGTAAGATTCCGGGCTACGTCTATGTCCTGCATCCATGTCCGTTCTGTTAAATGTCCCCTGCCTTTCGGGCCAATAAATAACACTTACTCAGAAATTCCTTTTGATACGTTACGGAGCGACGAGGAATGTAGTGTTTTTATTTATTTTCATTATTTAATGAAACATTACGTATACACATTGGAGTAGCTAAAAATATGCTAGTTATGTCAGAAAAAGGAAGCGTTCTTTGCACCAGGAAATAGTCATATGTTTGTAATATCAATAACGGTTGGGTCAGGGTTACACCTGCTGGTCCAGTTGTTATCTGATTTAAAAATAAAAAGACAGAGCTGGTTTTCACTTAAATATGAGTTAATCTGAACCACAGTGACCCGTTTGTTTACTTTACGCTTGACTCGGAGTTAGCTTATAGCACCATGTAGCCTGACGTTACGTCGTCGAATGTCGGTACTGTAGCCACAATTAAAATCTTAATGTGTCTAGTTGAAATGCATTTAAAACAGAAAAGTAAAAACCATATTACCCCCCACGATAACCAAGACTTTTATGATAATGAAGACTTTTATGAACAAGGCTGTGTACACAGGTTATTAAGGGCAACACTTAAGGGCAATAACATGAACCATACTGCTTATGCTGCACGTCCTGTACAACTATTATCTTTACTTTATAAATGTATTTGAATATATATCTATTCATATTTTCCATATATTATATGACTCAAATTAAACTGTGTTGTCTGTGTTGCAGGTAGCTGTAGCCAGTGAGGAGGTGGGCTTTACCAGGGCAGGAGAGAATGAAGTGGGCAGAACCCTGGGTAAACAGCCAGAGGCTGTCTTTTCTGCTAGAAAAGACAGCCTCTAGGGAAGCCAAAATGTGGAAGATCTACGTGCCAAAGAAACCCTCCTCACAGGTGAGCAGGAACCTCAGTCGAGCTCAGAATTTATAACCATTTGTCTGATTTTTTCAAGACAAATTGATAATCATTTTTATCAATCCTCTGATAATTTATTAACTATAGAAAAAAAAATAGCAAGAAGACATAACATTTCTTTCACCTAACATGAGCTGGACTCGCCCAGTCTACTCATCAGAAGGCACGTACATGGTGTGATGTCATAGATCACCTAAGCTGGTCTCACCCAGTCGCTATGTATGTGTCACAGCTGCTTAGACAACCTGGAAATATACTGTGTGCTGGGTACTGTGTTTATCTGAGAAGCAAGTTTTCCAATAGGCAGGGTCATATTCAGCAGGTTTTTGTTGTGAGGATTTTAGGTCTTTACAAACCTGCAAACAATTCAGAGGAAATATTTTTGTAGGTTTTAAATTATGTTAAACATGTTTGTATTTAGATTTTCATAATTATCTTTCCTCTTTTAAGCAGAAACTGCTATTAATGATTGATCACAAAAACCAGTTCAGTGCTTAAAACCTCAGATAGTCTGAAGAGACCTGATGCCAACATTGACACACAAAAGAATAAATAACCTTGTTCCATGGGAATAACTGAACAAGCTGCTTTTTGTGCAGACCTTTAACTGGCATGTTTATAGATGTGAGGCCAATAAAAGGCTTGACAGCACTTATCAGACAGGTAAACTGGTGTAGAGGTCACACATACATAAACTGGGGTTTTCAGGGTAAATAAAGATAGAAAGATGTTGGTTAAAGTTGAATCAAATTACATGTTCATTTGAAACCACAGTTGCTGATATTTCTTAACTGAAAAAATATCTGTAACAATTATTTCAGTGCGTGTTTTTTTTCAACCACCTCCATGTTTGGTCTGATAAACGCCTCAAAACCAGAATCCAGCAGTTTGGCGTTCCTTCAGGACACGGTCGAGTTGTTTTAAGTTTTTAACATTTCAGACATGAGACGCTGTACGGCGTCATGTTACCCATGTCGCCTTGTTGAATAACTGTGTCAGTGGCATTCTGAACTTTGACCCCTGCTGCTGCGTTAGCTCAGTGTTACACATTCCAACCACTGAAGCAGTATTTCCAGTTCCAGCAAAGTCAAAATACAAGAATTAAAAAGATAAACAAGTAATGTTGGCGGTGAAGGCAGGCACCGTTTTTAAAAATAATTTTGTTTTAACTTCCTCATTGTTAGACAAACAAACACTTAGACTCTTTACAAATTGTACACTGTTTTATTCTGGTATCAGTTTTCACACTGGCCTGAGGTCCTGTGGTCTGACCAGGTTTGGTCTTCTGCTTAAAACCAGGCCAAATGTTTATTTAAAACAGTGTCAGCGGCAGAGGAAGCCCTAACCGGTTTTTGTTTGTTTGGAGGATTTATCTCACATCTGATCAGTTTCTCCTGTGGGGACTGTAACTGGAGTTCTGTCTGGAAGAGTCACTGCTGAAGGAGGAAGATGAAAAATGTGTTTTTAATAAAAAAAAAAAGTAAACAATCCATGACCGAATAGAGCAAAGCAGAGGTTCTAGGATGTGGATACACTGACCTGCATGTTTTTGTCACTCTGTAAGGTGTTAGGTTTCAAATTTTTCTCTAATATCAGTTTCACATTTTTAGCTTGGTTTTATTTGATGTTGTCTGCCTCTAGGATACAGACATCTCCCCGGCCCAGAGGGATGAGGCTGTGCGCTGGCTGACAGAGCTCCACAGTAGGCTGCAGCTTTACCCAGAAACCCTGGTGTTAGCTGTTAGCATACTGGACAGATTCCTTGCTTCCATCAGGGTAAAAAAAGTTATTTCTTTAGCATAAAATGATTGTAAAGAATATTTAACCTTTTTTTTAAAAAAGAGAAAATCTAAATAAACTTTTTCAAATCCTGTGGTTTAATATGTTAGCAGGACTCAGGACATTTGTTTAGACTGAGTGTTAGAGGTTAGCAAGTTCAGTTTCAATATTTGATCACAGACAAATAGTCAACACTTTGAGATCAGTGTGAGGACGTTGATGATTGACTCCTGGTCAGCTGAGCTCAGAGCTGATTGTTAGTGATTATACACAGGAAGGGAAAAGTTGGGATCAGTACGTCCTCTGTGTCCAACGACACACCAAAGAAGGAGGTGTTCAGCCCAGGAATAAAATGTTCCAGGCTTATCAGGAGCTGCACACCATCTGTGTGTGTGAGGGTTTTATTATGTCTTTTGGCAAACAGCTGAGTCGTCACCCTAAAGCTGTTTTGTTAAATATATAAGTGACAAAGTCAAACCTGCTCCACAACTTTCCCTGAGATAAAACAATAGTTTAGCTGAATCTACAAGATGCCTAGTGATCCCCCTGAGCAGAAAAATAATTCAGAAGTGAACGTTAAACATCTTCATGTTTGTCTTAGGCTCGTCCAAAGTACCTGCGCTGCATTGCCATCAGCTGCTTCTTCCTGGCTGCTAAGACATGTGAGGAGGACGAAGTGAGTATAACACAAGACAATTTTAGTTCTATAACTAAATTCACAAAACACCAATGGACAGTTATAAGACTGTCCTCCTACAACCATGCAACAGGGAAGAAATGGAGGAATGTAAATACGATCAAGATTATACTGAGTCTATATGAACTATATAAAGTAAAGATCAAAAGATCAAACAAGTAATAGTTGACATGATGACGTGAATGGTTGACTGGAGATTTACCACGAAATATCAACTGCTGCTGTGTGACGAGAAAAAGTAGTGCTTGTAAAATTAATTATTTTACTTGTTGTTTACTTGTTGTTCATAAAACAGGATTTTTACAATAACGTAACAATAATAGTTGCAAAAAACTACAGAATTAATTGTTGAATAATTAAACAATTCAGTTAAAATCATGAGAAATGTATGTGTCTATATGAAAATAAATAACCAAGCTTTTCTACAGTTATCATCGTTCTGCGTTAGTCACATTATTAAGGTTGGTTCATTGGTTGTTGATGGAGATTCTGTGGAAATGTGGAAATAATTCTTGTAACATTTGGATTAATTCAATCATCATGTCCCTCTCCCTCACCCTTTGACTCCTCCTGCTCTCTTGCTCTTCCCCTCTCTCTTTCTTCCCTCCATTAGTGTGTTCCCTCCCTGAAGGAGTTGGCTGCCTCCAGTAGTTGTGGTTGTTCTCCATCAGAGATCTTGAGGATGGAGAGGATTGTTCTGGACAAACTGAGCTGGAGTCTGCTCACAGCCACAGCTCTGGATTTCCTGCACATCGTAAGTCTGTGTGTTTGCTCAAACACATGGTCAGTGGATGGTTCAGCTCTCTGACCAGTTTCTCTCACTGTCTCTCAGTTTCATGCTACGGTGTCATCGTGTCGTTCTGGGTTTCTGGATGCTGTGTTGGGAATAAACCGTTCTCAGCACCTGGCTCTGATCACACAGCGACTCTACCACTGTCTGGCAGACCACACTCTTATACAGGTACAAAACAATGTTCTTTTGTTTCTGACTCTGACTGAGAATTCACAAGTTGGTTTTCTGTAATTCTTTCATTTGTTTTTTATTTTCTGCTGAAGCTACATTCCTGTCACCTTGAAAATAATTCAAATGGTGTCTGTAATTCTTGGTTTTGGACTTCTTCATCATCATTTTGTCCCTAACATCCTTCTGTAGCTCAGAGGCTCTATGCTGGCTTTGGCACTCATCACTCTGGAGCTGGAGACCTGCTGTCCTGATTGGCTGGCTCTGACCACCAACCTGCTGAAAAGGACTCAGGTAATGTAGCAGGCAACGGCAGCTCTGATTGGTTCGGCCTAAAATGATGTGACCAGAGATGGAAGCTGGCATTTCTATCTGACTTGTACCTCTTTCCTCCTCCTCAGATCAACAGCTCTGAGTTGATCAGGAGTCGAGAGCTCGTGGCTCGTAGTCTGTCCACACACAGAGTTTCCCTGCCTCCTAACACCGTCTACATCTACCAGCCCCCGAAGGAGCAGCAGCAGGAGGAGGATGAGGTGAAGGAGATGAAAGAGGAGAACAAGGCCACAGCCATCACCTGCTCACAGGGTATGTAGCGTTAACCTAAGACCTGAAGGAGGTGCCACGTTCCGGCCTCTAAGGAACTGAACCTCTTGGTCTTACCTCCACACAGGGTTCGTATGTCATATAAAACCTGGAGCAGACTATGCTCATAGTTCTGGAAAAGTATTAATATATAAACGTTTCTCACAAAGTCTGTGGCGCTTTGGATGAAAATGGATGTATGGATGGACGTTTCTCACAAATGAATAAAAATGCTCTAATTTGCATGAAAATGTCTAGGTATGTGCTTTTATGCTCAAAAAGTCAGAAAAGTTTTTGGCACATCAATCATTGATCAAATGTAACATACCATAAAAAATTATCTGAAGAAGTCTTCAAAAATAGTAGAATTACTAAATGAACATGCGTTGTTCTGTCCTTTTTGACATCCTTTTTTTTAATCCTTCTACAGCCCACAACAGTAAAAACAGTTGGAAGTTTTAACTGGTGGTCATTTTGTCCTGGATGGTTTTGTCCTTGTTGTATTTTTACTAATCATTTTTCTCTTTTTCTTCAGGGACCATCTCCTCCTCCATCTCCTTCACCTCCTCCTCTTCATCTGCAGCTACACAACAGATTCCTGCGGGAGCAGAGGAAATGGAGGAGGTGAGCCCAGCTCCTCCAGGCTCCTCCTCTTTGTCCTCCTGTCAAGATAGCACCATCCCTCCTCTGCTTTCTCCGTCCAACAATGACCTCCATCATCAGAACCACCTGCAGAAGGTCACACTGCGCTGCAAAGCCTCAGCCAAACGCAAGGTGATTTCAGCTTCATGGTTCATTCCCGTTTTTCATTTTCTAAAAAAACAACTTGGGCGGACCCTGAATGTTTAGTCTCAGAGTCTCTGTCCACAAAATGTTAATAACAAGTTGCAACACAAGTGATTTCAACAATGTAACTGTTAAATTCATGTTTTGAAAATATTTGCTGAGTCAAAGAAAATCTGTTTAAAAAAATAAAATCCAGAGATGCTACGGAAGTTGCACACTGTCCTCGTGTGGCTGTTTGAGGAATTTCATTTACTGAGACCTGAAACCATGTACATTGATTCCTACTTTGCTAGTTTGCATTTTTCAACTGATAATAGGTAAACAGACATCGACAGAGAGACCATTTACTACAAGTGTTTTTTACTGTGTCCAGGTGGAGGACATGGAAGTGGACGACTTCTACGATGGTATTAAACGCCTCTACAACGAAGAAGTCACCACCGTCTCTGTCCAGGAGGGGGCAACACCTGCAACAGGAGGGGGGGCTTTGAATAGCTGCAGAAAAAGCTCCTCCCCCTGTCCACCTCTGCAGCCAGTCACAGCCTCCTGACTGACCCATCATCAACTCAGAGTGGTCCATGTGGTTCTGGTTTAGACGTAAGTGATTCCAGCATTCTCTGGACCTGTGGTCAGTTCACCATCGTCCGTTGCAGCAGGAAAAACAGAGCCCAAAAAAAAGTTTAAATACTCATTTAAAAAACAATGAAAAAACCTTCTGCTGCTGCTAACCCTGACTAATGATATTTGTTTCAGTAGAAAATAAAAACACAAAAAATTATTAAAAAAAACACAAAGATGTTCTTCCAAAAAACCCTAAAAAACTAGACTCTCTGAACTCAAGTGTTTTTCTCTCTGTCCTCATGTTTGTTGACTTTTATTTGTTTTTCTAGATTTTAACACCTTTGTTTATGTCTCATATGTTTGTTTTCACTCTCCACTCTGTCATGTTTCCTATCAAGTCTGAATCAAATGTTACTGTTTCTGTCACCTGTGGTTTCTCCAGGTAGAAAAAAATGTTTTAATGAAGGAAACTGATTTTCTCAGGTCACTGGGTCACAAGGTCACTGATGTTTGGTTTTGTCTCAGTTGTTCCTTACAGTGACACAGGAAGTCGGAGTACGACCATGGAACAAAAGACGATTAAAAAATAACTAATACTGATTAGTGGGTAACGCCACCTGCGGGCAACTCTAAATAGTGTAAAACCAGCACCTCCACTTCCTGTTGTGCTGTTTTAAACACACTGTTGATGCCTAAAATTACACAAAAGTGATTTTACGACTAAAACAGAAAAACAACAATATTTGAAGTCACGTTTCTCTGGTTAAGTAGATGACAATTAAAGCGCTAGGTAATTATTTATTAATATGTAATAGAAAGAGGTAATAGCCACTTGTTATTAAACGTATTTAAATGTAAGAGACAGAAAAGTGTTTTTTTTTTTTTTTTAGTTCTCAGTGCAACATTTGATGTTTGTTTTTTATTCAAAGTTAATATAAAAACAAACTCTGTATCTATCGCCTGTTAAAAACATATTGTAACTTACTGTAAAAAGCTCTGTTCCTTTTTTATTTTCCTGCTGCATCAGCTGCTGAAATCTGCTGCAGGTCCTTGAACGCGCCACTAGAAAATAAACAAACACCAAGAAATAAAACCAGTGTGAAAACTGAAACATGACTTGTTTTTAAAGATTCTGTAAAAATGCTGAAAAGAAATGTATATTTTTATAATTCTTCTGTATTTTTTTCAAAAATCAACCCTAACCATAACCCAAATAAAACATATAATACGAAAATAAAAACAATAGAAAATCAAAGAAACAAATTCAAAATAAAATTAACACACACACCTGAAATATTGCAATCCAAACAACAATTATTAAGGCATGTTTTGGGCGATTTTT